CTCGCCAACTGTAGGGGCTAGGTTCTCGATAAACCCTGTGTTTGGCTTATGGGAAATAGGGGGTTGGGTTCTATGACCATGGATAACGCTCGTCAAAGCTCGACTAAGTTGCTGGTTTCTTTAATAAACAATACAGTATAGTCTTCATTTATGCGGTCACTTGAACCCGTGGAGGTCTGCGTAAAACGAGAAACGCGTAAACAAAATAACAGAACAGATGGGATTAATTGAAATAGAGACTGGGCCGATCCCCAAACCTTACTTTTTCCGACACAATACCTACGTTGTAGTAAAAATAACATCTTAATTTTATGATGGTATGCACACAATTAATATTTAAGAGAAATACAGTTGCTGGTTAATGTCCATTCAAATAATGGACTCAACCCCCCCCTCCCCCCTTTCCACGCTCGCTGGCTTTCCTCCTTTGAGAAATGTTTGGGTGAAAACACTAGGTTTTTAGGTTATGTAATAAATAATACCTCACATTATGGTTAGGATAATATAATTGACATTGCTGGATTCTTTGCAAGACTGCGAATAATTTGAATATAAACGTCATCTATTTTGCACAGAAGATAACATTTTTGCTCTCTAATAAAATAATTAAATTAGATTTAAAATTTGTACTGTATGTCTAATGCAAATTTTAGGTTGTTTATATTTAAATTAATCACCATCTTATAAGACTTCAGCAATGTAAATTATATTCTGGCCAGGTAATTTCTATGAATTTTATGAGCTAAAAACAAATATCTAAAGTAAATAAACAAATTATACTTCACCCTTACCCAGACACCATCTGTCAATCAAAATACCCCGTCTCTTCCCATGCTCGCTGGCTGCTCCCTCCCTGAGAAATGTTTGGGAAAAAGACTAAGTTTTATGTTTAGTAATAAATAATACCTCAGACTATGTTTAGGATAATAAAATTGACATTGCTGGATTCCTTGCAAGACTGCGAATAATTTGAATATAAATGTCATATTTTGTACAAAAGATAAAATTTTTGCTCTCAAATAAAATTCTTAAATTAGATCTAAAATTTGTATGTCTAATGCAAATTTTAGCTTGTTTATATTCAAATTAATCACCATCTTATAAGAATTCCAGCAATTTAAATTATATTCTGGCAGGGTAATTTCTGTGAATTTTATGAGCTAAAAATAAATATCTTCAGCTGGGCGACCTAGTGCGCACCCTGCCCTCGCCGCTTCCCGCGTAAATGATGGAATGAATCGTGTAAATAAAAATTGTCGGTCTGGCAAGGTGCCGCGTAAATGACCAAACGCATAAACCAAATCCGCGTAAATCGAGACTATACTGTCCCTGTATTGTATATTTAATTAAATTTGAAACAAATAAATATAAAATAACTTACAACTGTATAATTATATTAAATAGTACTGTAATATAAATGTTACAGTACAGTGGTCCCTCGTTTAACGAGCGCTTCGGTTAACGAGATTTGATTCAACAGTTATTCCATAAGATTCTTAACTTCAGTTAACGAGCAATCCCTCAATTAACGAGTTTCTTACGAGCCAACCTGACATGTTTTCGCTTGCTCTTAGCGGTCAACCAGCTGTAGTATTAGTCCGCCAATACAGTAATCCGTTCTAGGGCTTAAATTTCTTACTATTTTAGTAAATATCAAGAAGTTTATACGATTCAATAATTTTAAAAGTTTAATATTAAAGTTTTTAGTCATTTTAACAATTAATGAACATAATTGAAGGTAAAGAAACTATTTCTGGCGCGCCATCCAGCATGTTAACACACCAAACAGGCGTTAGTCTCTCTCTCTTTTCAGTGGAGGTAACATCTTGCTTGAGACTCTCTTCAACTAAATGCTTTTTTCTGTGTTTCCAAGCAAATTATTGGTCATTTTGAAATTTATTTTACATATTGACAATACATAGCACAGTGCAGTGTTATTTTAAAGAAAATATTCTTTATTTACAGCTAGTTTAAACTTTAAAAATCACGTGTTGACATTGTTTGAATCCAGCATGGGGCCGATCAGAGATCAAGAAAAGCGATTTCAATCCAAACTAAGCAGGAAATTATTAAAAAACATGAAGAAGGCATTAGAACAAATGCGCTATGCAAAGAATATGGCGTGTCGACATCAACTGTCTCGACAATTCTTGCACAGAAAGACAAATTTAAAGAAGTGAAAGTGAGAGACAAATCTACCAGAGTGTTTAAAAGTAGATCCCTAATTGCAGAAACAGAGAGGTTACTTCTCATCTGGATTGGGGAAAAACAGATGAAAGGTGATTCAGTTTCTACTGAATTCATTTGTGAAAGAGCCAGGGAGATTTATGAACATTTAAAGACAGATCAACCTGGTTCTTCAGGCACAGAAATTTGAAGATTTTCGGGCCAGCAAAGGCTGGTTCGAAAAATTTAAGAAAAGAAGTGACATTTTCAGTGTTATTAGGCATGGTGAGGCTGCTAGGGGCAGCAAAGTTTTTAGTGGAGTTTAAAGAACTAGGGAAGAGAAAATTATCTTCCACAGCAAGTATTCAATGTGGACGAAACTGGGCTGTTCTGGAAAAAGATACCCAAAAGAACATTCGTCACCAGAGATGAAGCCTCTTTACCTGGGCATAAACCCATGAAAGACCGTCTCACTCCATTGCTTGGTGCCAATGCTTCAGGGGATTTCCGACTGAAGCCTATGCTTGTCTACCACTCTGAAAACCCCAGGGTGTTCAAGCAACAGAAAGTGGTAAGAACAAAGCTTGGAGTTTATTGGAAGTCAACCGTAAGGCATGGGTGACAAGACAGCTCTTTAATGAATGGGCTGTTGATGTGTTTTGCCCTTCTGTCAAGAGCTACCTAACCACCAATAAACTCCCTTTAAAGGCTCTTCTCATGGATAATGCTCCTCGTCATGACCCTGAACTTGCCAGAAATTTGGAGTATCAATTTGACTTTGTGAAAGTGTTGTTTTTGCCTCCAAACACTACATCAATCATACAGCCAATGGACCAGAATGTGATCAGCAACTTCAAGAAGTTGTACATGAAGAAAATGTTTAGGAGGTGTCATCAGGCAACTTCCAATGATCCTGAACTAACACTGAAACAGTTCTGGAAGACACAATTCAACATCCTGGAGGCTGTAAAATTGATTGTGTCATCATGGCAAGAAGTCTCCACTAGATCCCTCAATTCTTCATGGAAAGCACTGTGGCCATCAGTAGTCCATGATTTTGAGGGATTTGAGGAAGAAACAGAGTTGGACCAGGAGATTGTGTCCATTGGTCAGTCATTGGGCCTTGAAGTGGAGGAGGAGGATGTGGAAGAGCTTGTGATGTCTCATGAGGAGGAACTTACTCCTGATGACTTGAAGCAACTGGATGAGATGTTTCAGGTAGAGGCTGACAGTGGTGAGGAGGAAATTGAAATTGATGACCATATGTCAGCTAAACAGTTGAAAGATGTGATTTACTACTGGGAGAAGTTCAGGGAACTGTCTTCAAAGCACCCAGATGTGGAAAAAACTGAACTAACTTTGTGTCATGTTGAGGACTCGGTGGTCTCCTTCTTTAAACATAAGTTAATGATGAGGAGGAGAGATGCCCCACAGACCACAATTGACACTTTCTTCAGTAAAAGGCAGAGGGAACAAGATGCTATCCCTCAGCCTTCCACTTCAAGAAGGAGAGAGGATGTTCATGGTGGAGAATCTGTCAGTCCAGAGGTTCCTGACATTTTCATGGAAGGTGACTCATCTTCCAAGAAGCAGTAAAATGCTTCTCCTCCACTTCCTTCTCTTCTCCTCCTCCACCTCCCACTTCAAATTCACATCATCATCATCATCATCCAGGAGCCTTCTACATACACACCTCAAAGTAAGTCAACTTTTCTACCTTTTTTGTTGAATTTAGGCAATTACCCAAAAACCCATTGAAACAATGGTTTCGGTTAACGAGATTTTCAGTTAACGAGCAACCTGCTGGAATGGATTGCGCTCGTTAACTGAGGGACCACTATACATCTCCGTGGAGATGGCATGTTGCTAGAAAATAAGAAAATGGAGCATGTGCACGTGTACTTGGCAGGTCGCCAATTTAAACTGTCCCTAAAGGTACAGTTGCTAGTAAAGTCCTCCCACAGCCCTGGAGGACTTTTGCTGACAACTGTACATCCCCCTACCAGGCCTAGCTGTGGTATTGTTATTTTTCAACTGGTATTTTTGGGTAGATATACAGGTACGGTACATAATTTTTTTTAATTTAATTAAATTTAATTTATTTATTTTTTAATTTTACATGCACACACAATCATTCATACAGAATGTGTAAAAAAAAAATTATCAGGAGATAAAAAATATGTAGAGAATAAACATTTCTTACATCCACGGGAGTTAGCCAAGGATTGTGGAAAGGGGATGGGGAGAATGCTCCTGGTCTCAACACTCAAGCTTTATGTTATGTATTCATCCAGATTAAACTTTGTGCAGCAATACTCAACTCACCGATACACTCTCATTGTGCTGCTTAATGCCATTCCTGTTTGCCACTGTACATACGTTCGACATTGTCCGCGAAGCAGTTTGACTTGGTCAGGTCGGAGACTAGCGATGGTCACTTGTTTGCGTAGGAATTCATTCACCATCTCCTTAGACAGACCGAAGGCATGCATGTTGCAGGTGAACGTACTGCAATAAATTAATTATGAGAAAAGATGATGTCTAGATCATAAGTTACTCAAAAACAGAACTCACTCCGAGCCCAAAAATGACCACAATGTCTTGGATGGTCTCAAAATTCCTCTAACCAAATCTAACTCTAGTCTAATATAATTAAAACAGAAAAATAAACCAATATAAGATATACAAACATGTTATACAATTATTCAAAATATACAGCATTTTGATGTAATATTGGGTTTCCAACTACAAAATCCACTACTGTACAGTGCTGCAACATAAATTCAAAAGGCCCTGACCTAGTAACACCAATCTTTAGATTGGACTTTAGTTGACCAAAAGTAATGTTCTCTTGATAATGGAGTTCATCTGTGACAGCTTGTAGTCTGTTGTTCTCTACCTCCTCTCGGGTCACCACAGGTCGCAGGAACGCTCACACTGGAGGGCATCAAAGAAGGCAGCATTCCAGAAGCGTATGGACCTCCAGATTGGTTGTTGCCGGAGATAGGAATAAAGAAATTCCTTACTCCGATTCTGTCCTCCTGGTGTCATAGCTGGAATTAATTTAGCAATTTGAGATAATACAATGATATTATTTATATGACATGTTGGGCTATTCCAGAAACCTCACTCTGACTGTGTATCTTGCTTTTTATTCCATGAAGTCAACACTGGGTTAAAACTCAGGTAAACACCCAGACAATGGCCGGTGAGATTTAATTCATGAATTATTTGTACCATTCTGTTATAACGCGTTCTGAAAGGAAGTTTCATAGGAAGTCACCACTTAAGGTAAAAGGGTAGTGAGTGATGATCCAGCACTGTGCCAATATACAAACCTTCATGGTAATAGGTAAAGCACATGTTCATGAGGCTCTTGGCAGGGGAAAAATCCTCTGCCTCGTTACACTCGAACAACATAACAGAAGTGTTGAATGAGTGAGAAGAAGGTGGCCTCTGTGACACACTTGCAGCATCGCTTGGCGTTAATGCAACGTGCAAACCATAATCTGCCTTGCTCAGTCTGCAACAAAATGTGATTAATTTGTAATTCTTGTACAGTTTTGTATCATACAGAAAGTACTCTAATTGTCTTTACATTATAAATTTTTAAAAACATAATGTTTAATATGGTAAAGAGAATATACCAGTAGCTATTAAAATTTACAACATTTTAGGATTAATATTGAAAGGAATTCTTGGCCAAGGAAGGTTCTCATGGTATGTATGTGATAAAATTGTTTCCAAGAAAATTTAAAACATTTTACAAGTGGAGAGAGTTGAACCAGACAGATCCATGGAATGTTGGAAATTAGATATTTGTGATAAGACGACAGAAAAAAATTACCTTGGAAAGTGAGGATGATGAGGACAGTTTGTACTGGTTTTGATAAATAACTGGATTAAGTGGATAGGGATTATTGATTTGGGTATACCATTTAAATACCTGTGGGTTTTAAATGTATTAAAAAATCTGTTGCCTGGTGCAATATAAAAAATTAAGATACCATACTGTAAAGCAGATTAAACATGTTATTATTATTACGTATTATTATTATTATTTTTTAAGTGGAAATTACAACAATGATTGGAAGAGATATAACTAACACTGCAAAATAAGGCCTCGAGTATTACAGTATATTCAACAACTGGGAAAGATTAAGAGCAAATGGGTATAAACCTGAAATAGAGATATGGAAGGTATGGACATTATGTGAAGGTGTGAACTGCTGTGTGTACATATTCTCAGGGAGATGATGAGGTTGTAGTGGGATATTTGGAGTTAAGGAGTATATAGATAGTGAAAATCATAAGAGGTGTTGGTATTCCTGTGAACTAAATGTTGGGTAGTTGTGTAGAGGGATGCCACTATTTATATTTGGCTCACACAAGATGATTTTATTCACCCTAAAGGGGACCAATACACAGGGTTCGTAGACTATCTCCACTAACCCCTTCATCTGACGCAAATTTTAATATTCCATTTGTCTCCGCAAGATGATTTTATTCAGCCTGGAGTGGAGCCTGGTTAATCACAAAGCAACTCACCTGAGCCAACTCTCCAAAACGAGCTTTCCTATCCACATCAATAATGTCTGGCGTCTTGTAAACTTCCTCCACAAACTTCACATGAACTCCTTTGGCTCGTTAAAATCTTCTGCCTGACTGTCGTATGATAGACTGGAAGCCCAAGACTGTAATGAAGTCTGTGATCCTGTTTTGAAAAGGAAGTATAAGAGTACTGTAGTCTGTTTAATGGAGTACTATATTAACTGACAGTATTAAGTTAAGGCATACTGTGCTAAGTGATAATTAATAAATTTCACAAATATGTTAAAAGGTTTCAATTCATCCATCATCACTAAACCATTCAGATCAGTATTTAGCTGCCTCCAAAAGTATTAATAAAACAGAAAGCTTAAAATTTAGTATCAAAATCAGTGTTAGAAATCACCTCATCATAACTTGAAGATCATAAATGTAGTAAGTCAATCATAAAAAAAAAAAAGCAAATAAGTTAAATGGAAAAATAATGTCAATACTTGAAGATCAACGCTTGTAAACCCTTAAGATAAGTGTCTGGGCACCAAATACAGTACTGTTCTGCTCCTCAAACTAGCGCTGGAGTTGTGTTCCCGAAAATGTAGGTGCTTAGCGAATCCGGTAGAGTGAACCCATTATATATAACATGGGAGATTGGGGATGCTTCAGTTGGACCTCAAAAATCCCCCACCCACACACAAAAAACATTAATACTGTACCGTATATCTACCAATTCACTTAGCATGATGATGTTGTGGCGGTGCTGGCGTGTCCATGAAATCAGTTCCCAAAAGTTTAACGCCCCAGCCATTTGCAGACACTTGGCTAAGTCATGCATGGCCTCCTTGCCTCACCATAGCAACCCAGCCTGGCTGGTGAGACTCTCCCCATCAGACCATAGCAGTCTCCCCCACCCCGGCACACAAAATGTATGTTCATTTATGTTTTTGATCTAATGATTATTATTTATTTTTATTTATTTATTATTTTTTTTTTTTTGGCATGTGTGGTGTATGTGTGCATAAAGTGATTGTGGTGCTGGAATGATTGTGAGGAAAAAGTAAGTTATTTGACAGGTAGCATAATGTTGGTGATCATTTTGTGTGTGAATGTGAGTGCATAGAGGCGATGTCCAGTGTAATCTCTCTCCCTCCACTGTGTGTCTTAAGTTCCAAAGTGGAAGCATGTGCTGCTTCCTTATATCTCACTTATTTATGAACTACTGTACCACTGATACAGATAAAGACAAATTAAGGGTTCTTTGTTCTACAAGAAAATAAACACAACTTCTCTTAATTTTAGAGAATATATGGAACCATGACAAAAACAGACAAAACAAGTTAATTAATCCAAGAGATTGCTGAGCAGGCTGAACCACATTCAGTTAAACTCTTAAGCCTGGTGGCATCACTACCAGGACTGTGGGGCCAATCTTTCCACTTGCTCAGACAAAACATTTCTCTACCCGACCTGGCTTTCAGCTGAATTTTCCTATAGTCCTGCCCAACCTGCTCCAGTGAATTTTAGCCTTGTGTTATGACATACGTAAGAAAAAATCATACCAATCTGAATTGAATAAACCAATGTTGTTTAGTATATAATCTGACATCTGAATACATTACAGTACAATATTCACCCATCAGGTCGGATAAATTGTAGTGTGATGATACTGTCCTGGCACTTGATGATACACAGGCAAGAAGTAAATAAAACTAGCACCTCTCTCTCTCTCTCTCTCTAAGTAAAAAATCTAAATAAATGTTGGCAAACTCTGATTGTAGTTCTAAATTGGAGAAATAAGTTATCGTAACTCAAATTCCAATATAATGCAAGCTGTAACTTGTTACGAAAACCTCGAGTATGGTGCGAAACTTTCAAAATCTCTTACCTGGTTACTAATGACTCTGTGTTCACATGCGTTAATTTATAAAAATTTAACTCCTACCAGTGAGATCATTGTCTCTCTTTCACACACTAGAATATTTTGGAAAGTTTTAGGAAACATTAAAAATCCAGTTCTAACACCTACACACTACAAAATCCAGTTGCCAGTTATTGTGTCACAGTAAATAATTCCATAAAAGAGCTATACAGTATACAGTACATGGACACAGTAATAAAAAAAGCAAAGCAAGAATAAAAAAGATTAAAATCAATATGACATGATATCAGTAAAGACACGGATCAAGAGGTATGACAGTCTTCATATATCCCAACCTAACTTAACCACCAACACTAGGCCTGTTTAAGAATAAGTCCCAGTGCTAATGCTTAGGTTCAGTTGAGGCCTATTATAACTGACACCCACTTGACCAGTCGCCAACTTTTCTGACGTGAAAAGCAATGTTGTGCTTCTACCGCTACAGCATTCCTGATGGTGTACAATTAAGTTTAAAGCTGACTTCTGAACCAAATGTCCAGTCAACAAGATAATTATAAACTGTCAGCAAATACATGTACAGCAGGAGTGCCAAAGAGGGAAGACTTAGTGTTATAACTGAACAAGGCTGGCAGTTGAGGTGGTCAAGTCACCCAATGTGCCACAACAAATTCCAAAGGGAAATAACTCGGGGCAGTGATGACAGAAAATGGCGATTATCTGAGGTCTTGTAATATAATGTACCACAGAATGTACACAATTTAGTTACAATCCATCAGTAAGAATTTGAGTTGTACAGTAATGTTCACATGCCCTGACAAACAGATGTAAAGCTGCACGTCTATTGTCCCACAGCCCGAGACAACAGGGAATAATAATAATTACTTAAGATTCACCAAGACGCGTGGCTGAATCTCTCTCATTCTATGAGTCATAAACAAAATTTTAAAGCTCTGTACAACACTAATTCCTTCTTATGTCTTTTATTTGGAAATTAAAGTTTAGTAATAATCTAAATGAGAAAAAATAATTGCAAAATTTAACTATAAAATCTTATGAAAAACCTCCTCTCAAAGACTGGTTAAAGTCAATGATACTGTACGATCAAAAAGTCCCAACGCACCTCTTGACAACTAACACTGATAAAAAGTCATAATTATATGGGAAGTATAATCAATTTGTTGTCATAACACTGTCATGACAGAATACCTTTGTCATTACTGCTCTTGGGAATACTTTAATAACATTCACCATAATAGTATACAGTATTTTAGGCCAGTGACTTTACAGATTCTGAATAGATTGTGTCCGAATGCCACAAGTGGACCCCGAAACTCCTTACATACAGTAGATAACAATCATATAAAACATAATGTAAACTAAATTTTCAGTTCCTTCATATTTACATAAGGTAGGATTACAGTTATTCACATACAGTGATCCCTCGGTTAACAAATTACCTTCCATAAGAATCTTCAATTCGGTTAACGAACAAAAATTCGGTTAACGAAATTCTTACGAAATCATGTCAACATGTTTTCGCTTGCTCACCAGCTGGATTATTAGTCCGCCAATAAAGTAATTGGTTCTAGGGCTTAAATTCGTTCCCATTTGAGTAAATATCAAGAAGGTTGTACTATTCAATAATTTTCCAAGTTTTATATTAAAATTGTTAGTCATTTTAACACATTTAACATAATTGGAGTACAGGAAACCTAGTTTTTGGTGCACCAATCAGCCACTTGACTCACCCACTAAGGCGTTAGTTTGTGTCTGGTCAGTGGAGGTAACATCTTGCTTGTGGCTCTCGAGCATAAACTATTTTTACGTTTTTACAGTACAATTATTGGTCATTCTGAAATTTATTTAACATATTGATAATATATAGTGCAGTGCAGTGTTGATTTAAAGAAAATAATCTTGAATTACACCTAGTGAACTTAAAATTTTAAGGGTGAAATGACGGCATGAAGCCTGGGGTGATTTCTCTTCCACCCCCACTTCCTTCTCTTCTCCCTTCTCCTCCACCCCCCACTCCCACTTCTAATTCCCATCATCATCATCCTCATCAACCAGGAGCCTTCTACATACACACCTCAAAGTAAGTGTACTTTATTGCATTTATTTTTACTTCGTATGTAATTTTCGGTGAGCTGGAACCAATTACCCAAAATCCCATTGAAACAATGGTTTCGGTTAACGAACGACCTTCAGGAACGAATTGTGTTCGTTAACCGAGGGACCACTGTATAGGAATAATCCTAACTTATGTACAGTGATAGAACATCTAAAAATTCTGGTTACGTTACCTTTACCTATGACTCGGGTATTTCTGTAAGTGGTTCAGAGCATAGGGGTGTGTTGGTGACTTTCAGACCCAATCCCTATCATAATCTTGACAATCATTTGCCTAATAACTTGTAATAATAGTAATAATGAACAAGAGCAAACTGGTGTGTAGCTTTAAAAGATCTACAGCAGGTGCATATATATGGTCTAGCACACCACATCTAAGGTACTAGCACTGTCATCAGCTGTGTCAAACTTGTCAAGTACAGTATTAAGGGAAAATAACTGTGTACTAGAAATCTTAAGCAGTCCTGCACTCCATCCTCTGAACTGGTATGTGATTTATTGACAAACTTGAATGACAATCAAGAACTGAATTGCAAAATAATCTGAAATCTTGATTTAATGCATGAGATGGGTGAGCAGGTTTATGAACTGAGACTTCTAGTACACTAATGTTGGAGAAAGAGTGACAAAACACTCGAAGAAAACGCTGAATGCAGGCAGGTCGTGGGAGGCCACATAATGGACTAACAAAGGTAGTAGGGATCTCTTGGCAAACTTTGGGATGACCCCATCTTACCTGATAGGCCCTCTACCAGCAAGAACAACAACATAAAGATTATTATTATGAAGCAGAGCAATGAACGTCTCAAGCTAAGGATAGAATTTACAATCAATTTTGAATAGTTGTTAATCACAGCAGCCAATCCAATGTCTGTTTATTGCATATATAACTGTCATTAGAATTTATTTTTATTATGAAGTTTTAATTATAAATAACATGATAACAGTCTAACTACATAAACAACACTACCAACAACTATAGTTCATAACACCCATTACTTTTTCATATAAATTATTACGGATACTTTTATTTGGTTACTGTTGTGTAAATACTTTATATTTGAGAATAAGGTCCATTAAATAACTTGGACACCTGAAGCCTTGACAAAGTAATACTGTAGTTGATGTCTACTCAACAGTGTCTCTCACGGTCTACCCCATATAAGAGTCAGGTTAAGCTACATTTCTACTTCAGTACTGCATTTAGGCTTAAGGGACCACCTGTATTATACCAACACCACATGAAAATTATGGCACGGTACTGTGCTGATACTGTACCTACATCTTCATTAGTTCTGTTATTCCAAAGTAATGTGTCTGAATCCAATCGTGAATTCGTTACTTCCTCCAGAATCCTCACTCCCAGAAAACTGACGAAACCTTAATACTGTACAGTATATGGGACAGGCATTTACATAAAGGTTCTGTTCCTGAAAATCATTTGTAAATTGATCTTTCATAAATTCATGGATGGCAGGACTGATGGTCTTTGATATCTACCTTGGGTGTAGTGTTCTGTGACCCTTATTTTAGACTTCAGTATAATCCATTTACTTACTCCCACACCTCCACCTCAGGTACCGACTCCACTCATTGATGTTTCTTTCCTTTGGTTGGGAAAAAAAAATCCCTCTCGTGTCCTCTTTTTCTGATAATAATTAGTGCATTATGGCCTGCATTCACCCCAAGAGAGCAATAAATCTTTTTCCCTTTCCTTAAAATATAATAAATTTCATCTCATATACTGTATTTCTTTCTCAACTTGGCAAGTAATCTATAGCTTGAAGTTACTTTGTGGTTTCATCCAGAAGTACGAGAAAGATCTTATGAACTTTTTTTTATTACGTCTGTCCTTGTCATTTCAGTCCTCTCGTTGCCAACATGCACCGACTCACATGCAGTTGACATCTTCATTCCTTAAACCAACATATTCCTGATGAACAGTGACTGAAGTGTCTGGAGATTAACACTCAAGCTAAATATTGCCACATAAACAGGTAGTACAGTACAGTATAGTGAAGCCGAAGAAACGAAAATAACCGGGTTTTTAATGTGAGAAACATGATCACAAGACAGTAAAGTGTAAAAAGCAATTGGTACAGACCAGATGAGCTTGATGACTGGCTTGAGTCTTTCCTTATACAGTATAGTATGTAAAAAATCAATCTTTTTATTTTAGACAGAGACTTAACAAATAATAATTAATGAGACTTCCAAGGTATATTCACACCGAGTTTAAAGTCCTCCTGCTCTGTGGTCTCTCAAAAGAAGTTTAATGTTGAGGATTGTCAGACTCGGGGAAAAGACCATCCTTGTCACCCATTGTGCTACCTTAAAAAATTACCATAGTAGAATAATATCTACTTGCTCTGGAAGTTCATGTTGGATTTGGTCATGTCCTTCTCAGATTATGAAAATATTTTAGTTAACATTATGTATCTCCCCCTTATTGTCAGACTTATGAGCAGGTCACAATGGCAGTGCTGGACAAACGGATATACCTGTACTGTAGGCCGTTAGATGGAGGTTTCACATCAAACGGACTTCGATCTACAGCTCAAACAGACACCAACTAAAATTCACATGACTCGCAGTGACTTTACTCGGACAAAAGCAAATAACACAAACCTGATCTGATCCACAGTTTTTTGTGAGGATCTGAGTCGGTGGAGTCGAGGCTCGTTGAGTGTCCCAGACCCTCTCCTTCACTCGGGGATCCACTGCTGATGATGTCTGGAAGGAGGCAAGAGTCTTATTGAAGATTCATGATTTTATTGTTTAATTTATCATTTCACCACTTAGTTTATTAGACTTTGGACAGTTGGTTTGTTCTTTGTTACTTCATGAACTTTATTGTCCAGTGTTTTTTAAGAGAGGAAATCAGAGTACCCAAAGGAAGACCACAATATCTGGTATTGTCACACTGGATAACACCCTTCCCATGTGTGTCTGGGCCAGGACTTGAACCCATGACATAGCGTGAGAGATACTGTATACACATTACTGCTGTACTCTACCACCAACTCCACATATAAAAATCCTCAATAGGGTTCCATTATACTGTAAAACTTCAGATTTGGTTGTCGAATAAAGCCGTGAAGTTCAAAATTCTCTTGATAATTACAGAGTTTAAATTACTATAATATAAATGTTTAAAGTTTTTCATGTGGTACAGTAACTCTTGCACCCATCCACATAAGACTTAGTGTACAGTTCTAAGAGAGGGATACTGTGATATAGATATGTATACAATATTACTTCTTTTGTATGTACAGTACAGAAAGGCACATTAGTTAATTTTACATAGTATGGAAATTCCTGGCATTTTCTCGGTGTTATACTGTGTGAGGGAGGCAGCTGGTGGTCGGTTAAAGCAGGTTGTGTTGCAGTTGCATGTTCATCTCATTCTTATGTGCGCACATCTAGGGAGTTGCTTCTACAATTATTGAACATTATTTATTCTGTTATCTACATAGAAATAAATACTGAGAAGCACTCAAGTTAATTTTATTTGTGGAAGTTCTTGATGTATTATTGTCAGTGATATATAGGGTAAGGAAAGCCATTGGTGGTCGACTTAGCTAGCTTGTGTTATAGTTCTTTTGAGTCAGCTGCCATCTAGGGGTGTGGAGGTGACACTGTTGCCAAACCAAGTTGTCCCTTCAGTCTAATATAACATCTTTTAAGGCAAAACAGAAACATTATTGTGGAATACACTAAGTTTGTTCTCCTTTTTTGTTGCAGTACCTTACCAAGTTATTACCTCGGGCTTCAGCTTCTCTGCCGAGGAAGGAAAAGTGAACTGTGTCAATTTACTGTACAAGGAAACAGAAGAAATCAGTAGGGTGAGTGGTGATATATCTATCCTGGTAAGTGTTAAGTCTTATTATGTATTGTGTTAACCTCATCATATTTTCATAAAGTTTTATATACTGTACAGTGTTGTTTATAAGTAATGTTAGTCAGCCAACAATGCAATTTTAAAGTTACCATTTCATGCATATTTGTTCACATACAGTATATTTGGCAACCAAACACATCACAACAGTCAACACACTTAATGGTGAAGGTAGCTTTAAATGTCCATTAGTGTAATGTGGCGACAACACACTACAGATTAAGTATTTTTCAGCACACTAATAGACAGTGTGGACAGCACTGCCTTGACTGCCCTCACCTCCCTAGCTGTATAGTTAGGTACAAGTGTTTAATCACAGCTGGGTGAAATGGGGTTGCCCTCATTGCAAACCGGCAAACCTCAGGATAGGTGAGCACTGTAGCCAATGAGGCAGCCACACCCCCCTCCCATAAGATCAACTTAATTGATATTTTAAAAGGGTATTAACAGATACAGAACATACCACTAAAGAGTACAGTACGGTAAAGTTATAGCTGACTAAGAAATGTGATTTTATAATGGTAAACAGAAAAAGGTATTAAGATAAAGCACACAACACAAGAGTAAACCCAAATAAAGAGATAATAAGAATATTCCAACGTACAAAGTAATTCAGATTCACTCAGATTAGCGAGAATAAATTGGAACTGAATGACCTTGAATAACCAATGATATTAACCTTACTTAACCATACTTTACCTGAACCTTCTCCGGATGAGTCCATTTCAAAACAATGTGCTTAACAATGGCTCCTTCTCTGTGCACTACAAGTATAATATCCCTTGTGAGGTGGTCTGGTGTTAAAGGGGAGATGGACACACTCCTCTCTGGGCTGTATGTAGGAGAGTGAACGAGTGAGTGAACAGGTGTCAGTGTGGGTCATAAGGCAGGTGTTGGCCTAAATATCCCTTCCCCTCACCTCCCACCCATCCCCCCTTCCCCAGTGAGCACCTGTGTATTACTTATACACACACACACATTCTGTCTATCTCCTTTTAATCTCTCCCTTTCTTTCAATTGCACTCTCTCCTTTCACCTCAATTTCTGCATCTTTATTCTCAATCTTCCTTCAATTCTCTGTCTTTCAATCTCGATTTTTCTTGTAATTTCCTTTCCTCTACACACTCCACCTTTCTCTACAGTGTACAAGAGGCCAACAACACAACAGACACATCCACCCTGAGCCAACCTAGTGTCCAGGGAGAGCCAAGAAGATTGGACGACTTGCCCATAACTACAGGTCCGTCACTTATCAGGCCTGCACTTTCCAACATCACTTACCAGGCTTGAACTTTAACTTGTCATAAGGGTCTGGTCCTGTTGCATAGAGCGAGTGCATCGAGTTGAAGGAACGTGATGAAAGGCAGGTGCTCGCTCCCTCCACAACATTCCGTGCTTCTTCTGCCTCGGCTGCCGGTATTAATATTTGTCAGATATTTGGAGTTACGTAGGTACACAATTTACAAACCCCATAAAAAATTTTGTACAAGACCAGCATTAAATGAGTGAGCTGTAGTGAGAGCCTATTACATCACCAGAGGGAATATGACATACAGCAGGCATCTGATTCTCACTCTAATAAGCCATGCTATCAATGTACAGTGCTGATAGTGCACCTTTAGCCAATAATGCATCATACTTTTTTCTGAAACCTTCCTAAAATTGAGAGACATACTAAACAGTCTAGACTCTAGTGCTTATCCTCTTTCACCAGACCAATGCAGCAATAACCAGACTTAGTCCTGCAGTTAGGAGTTGATTACTCTACATGTACTGACCCTTTTCTTTGACCCGGTTCAGTATTAAACTCATGCTTGTATGTTTTACGTTCCTTAATTTTCTATTGTTACATGGTCATCAGAAGCAAGCTAATAAGGCCAAGTCAGCATGGTAAAAGATCCTATCCTCACAAACAATAAACAGAGCTGGTCAGTCCACTCACCATCCTTGTCATCCTTGTCGTCAACACACTCCACGTTGATGGCACAGGTATTCAGCTCATGGGGTTCTTCCCCTGGCGCCTCACCTGTGTCTCCACTTAGAGTTCTCATTGCAAGTTGCTGTAGATGTAGTAATCACTTTTAGTGGTTGAACTATTATTACCCTCTAGAGCTATCAAACTGACACCAAAATTAATAGGCTTTATCTCCTGTGTATAAAGAACTTATGTCACTGTATGAAGTTTATATAATATGCACCCGATAGAACTTTAATTCTCAAGGGGAAAATAATCACTTACAGATGGAAGGACAATAACTCTGTTTTATTTGCACTGGGGATAATATATAAACAAAATTATCAATATGTCTGTATACTATCTTTTACTTCTCTTTCAGCAATGTTTGAGATGGATCAAGAAAACTATGAATGTAAACAAAGGGAGAAAACGGTAGAGTGGTGAGTGACAGGTACCACGAGAGAGAGCGTCCTGGAGGAAGACTAGAACAACGGGTGGGAATACTCAACAGGTACTGTACTTCATACTGACTTACAATCCTTCACTATTACTGTTTAAATTATTAGGCCTTTTCATGTAATATACTAATACTGTACACACACAATGCTTGAACCTGATCCCATCCTTACGGTTGATTATTTCAAGAAAGAGTATCATCATTTGTGTGTACAATTCATCCTCCAAGAAATCGTAGGCTTGATTCTCAGCATTGGACAGAATTAGCTAACATTTCATCATTTGCTAATACACAGTTACTTGTCTGGATTTATATCAATAAGCTTTTGTAAATGAATAAAACAATGAGTTGCAAAAAGTTGTCTATATTCATATTTTCTGTTGGATTGAGAATATAATAGTACAGTATTTAAAATCCTATAAACATATATTGTACAGACATATCATTTAGGTGTCAGTCATTTCTCATGATCAACAGAATATAAGGTATTGGTGAGTCACACACTATATCACACTCAATTGACTTAAAAAATGAATCGATACCTTAATTGTCAACAAGAATATCACAAACAAAATATATCGCCAGATGTGTGAACTGGGCTTTGTTTAGTCAAAGCGTCACTGACAAAGTTATTACCGTACATGTACAGTATGTGGAAACCAGAGCTTTAACAGACAGACAATGGCATTACATTAAACTTCATGCACATGGGGAATACACACCAATACTTGTCACAATCTTTAAAAAATCTGTATAAAGTCTGTGCATCCAAGAGTCTGGTGTAACATCACATCGTTTACAGAGAAAACAACGATTTTTTTATCTATTTCTTACTTTATAATCAACCAATTTCTTGGGAATGGCCTGATTGAAATTATTGAAGTGGTAGCGGAAACCTGTTTTGGGTGATTCTGGGGTGTTGGTGGGCAGCGTGGATGGCTCAGATGATGATTCTGACTGCATTAGTTCCTCCAATGTTGGTCGAAGTTCACGAAGGTTTTCAAGTTTGAAAGTTTCCTGAAGAGAAACAAGTAAATTACTTTCTAAACTAACCAGGAAAGACAAAAGTGACAAGAAAGATCCATGATCGAGATAATTTTCTGGCTTTGACAATATGTATACTGGTACAGGGTATATAAAGTAATTTTGCCATTCTTGTTGCTTGTGGAGCCAGTAGTCAAGGGTGTCTTGTTACTGTACATACCAAAAGGGCATGTTTAGTCCATCAAGCTTTCCCACAAAGGCAACTGGGGGAATATTTTAAGACGCTACTCGTAAGATCACCCAGCTTTCTGTCACATCCGTCACCCTAAAATGTGTGAGGGTTGATGGATAGGTCACCTTACTACAGGCAGGACTGCAACAGTCAATGCCAAAGACCTGGATGAGGTTTTGACCAAAATTAAAGCAAGATGGGAAACCACATTGACTCTAGGAAGAATCTATTACAGTAGAAGTCCAAAAATCCGGACTGCTTGGGGATTGGGTCGGTCCGGATTTTCGAATTTTCCAGATTCTCAGGCAGTACTTTTAAAATTCAAATTTCAGGAGAAATAAAGAAGAGATGAACAGGTACATTTTGATAGTTTATTCATTAGCAAATATAGCATGCTTCATTTGTCCAAACGAGCAGTTTTAAAGATAAAGCTGTGAATTCTAAAATTTTATTCTTTGCCTTTTTTATATCATAAATTGTAGACTCTCCAATGTTGTATGTTTCCATTAGAACAGTATTGCTCACACCACGTTCTATTTCTTAATTATTTAAAGTTTGTCACTCAATTTCAACGTGTTCTTCTTTCTCTTCACACAACGAAGTTTATCTACTTTAGGAGCCATTATTATGGGCTTGTACAGTACTCTGTAAATGGAAAGAGTAGGACTCAAAATTACATACATTGTCACAGTTTGATTGCTCGTTTTAAAGTGGCGACCGCGTGGTCGCTGTGCAGCTGTGGCGCCCATGCATGCACACATACACACAAAAGCCAGCTAAAAAAAAAAAAGTTAAGTTTGAGTTTTCGAAAAGTCCGGATTCTCGGGTGGTCCAGATTTCTGGCATCTGGATTTTTGGACTTTTACTGTATGTTGAGATTTGATCTACCCAAACTTTCAATAAAAATGGAAGTTACACTGATAACATATTGTGATCACCACCTAAATATCCAGTCATAAGATCAGTTGGAGTACACACTATGAAACACGTTTATGAGGACATGTTGCAGGGTTGTAAGGATCTGCTCACTAACATATTGGCTAGTCCTCAAATTGGGTTGTTTGCAAGTGTAAATTAACCATCCGTAAAATGTTCAAAAGGGACAACACACTAAGCTTTGTGAACAGAAGCAGAACAAGAGAGACCAGGGCTTGGTGAGAACTACTTACCATGGCAGTAAGCTGGGGTATGAATAAAATGGAGGGATTAATTGTCAAAATCAACACAGTAGCTGGCAGGAAACTCGTGTATTTCCTGTATCTAATCTGTCTTATCTGGGGCTGTGATGGAAAGGGGTGTGTGCAATCCCTACTCTACAAAGTGGGTTTGCAACAAGAAAGGCCTCTAAGCCATAAATTGCTTAAAATTTGCCTGATAGTAACCGGAACACCTCGCCATAAGGTAATCATAACTAACCTGTATAAGTATGGAAAATGGCCATTAAACAGTAAAGGTGATGCAGACAGTTGGAACCTTGGTAACCATTTATGTGTCCTCAAAACAATAATGTTAGAAAACTGAGAAGGAATTAGTTACAGCATTTAACATCTTGGCCACAGGTTGGGTGGCGAATTAAGATTGTAAAGCAAATAAACTGTACAGTAAAGCTTACCTTGATCATCTCCTTCATAGTAGGAGAACGGTGACTGTCTTCAGGGCTTGGAGGAAGCTTTAGTGGAGGGGTACTTGGGGGCTTTTCTGGTATAGGTGGAGTTCGTTCTGATGATGCATTGGAATTTCCTGATGCGGCAGAGAATACAGAGAGGCGGGAGGAGATGTTAGAGGATATGCCAGATAAGAGATCATTTGAGGTGTGAAGAGCAGATCTGAGCCTTGTGCGCAGGAATCCACCGCCGGTTTCATTTGCTGTTGCGGTCATTCTGAGAGCCTGATATGGAAATCAAAGTTCACTTATTATTTTAATAGGACTTAATCCTAACTATAACAACTATATCCCTGTTTAGAAATTGTATGCCAATTATTTAATAATAGGTTTATACAATGACCTGATTAACCCTCTTACATAATTGACAGTCAGATCAATTTCACCCCTTTGCTGGCTGATGACACAAGTTGCATCATCCAAACCTAATTGGCTTGCAGGTTGACGACAGTAGCTGCATCGTCCAAAATTAGGTTGGGAATTTTTTGTTTAATTAAGCTGCCTTTGGTTTAATAGAGCTACAGGATCAATAACACTGACTTATTTATAAACATTTGTTGGGTGTGTATGATGCACGACATAATGGATTATGCCTAAGAAATACCACTGGGGAGGGAGTCTGGCACTCAGCAACACACACAACCTGCGTCATCGGCCAGCGAGAATTACGTCCCTTCGTCACCATTAACAACCAGGCTGCCACACTACCCATTAATCACTGACACTACACACCTGAGAAAGTTTTGGACGTACAGTAATAAAATTCCCTGATGGACAACCCCAATTTAATCATAGTATGCATGTTAACCAAGCCACGATGTACAATACAAACCTAACATGATCGTTTGGTTAGGTTAGTCTTGGCTAAACTTCAGCTAGGTTATCAGTGTTTGCTTGGTTATTGTGAGTACGGGCTGTGGCAAGAACACAATGAAAGCCAGACCAAGGTGTGTGTCAGGGACCATAATGTTATATAGCTGTGGGTATTTAGTCATTCGGTATATTAAGAACAACATGGTAAGGATGTACAGTAGTTCATGAGAGTTGTTTTGATGACATGAACCAATTAGACTTAAGCTATCTGACTTTATTAAGGATTACTGTACATTGTAAGTCTAAGATCGTCAGGTTAGGTTAGGTAAGGCAAGCTGGGTTAGGTTAGGTAGCCAGGGTGGTTCATTGTATCTCGTCACTGTGATGTTTCACCTATAAAGTACATCCCTGCCAACACTTTAAACTACATCTGTGTCATACGGGTGAGAGAACAGACTCAACTATTGCCTTCAACTACTTAACAGGACTATAACTAATACCCCATGCAGTGTATAGTTAATTTACAGGGTTGTAGTAGTTTATTATCTCACCTGGTGACTGTGGTGAGTGAGGTGGGGAAATACAACGAGTGTTATCCAGGCAGCCAAGATCACTCCAGGAAGCTGTTTTTAAGGAGTGTGAGGCAGCATGGATAGATAGATGAAGTAGGTGAGACCCGGGAATCCCCTCTTCAGTATCTCTTATCTGTATCCCGTGAGGTCAAAGATCTGAAGACTAGAAAATCAGCAGCAGCACTTCTTGACGCTCCAAAGAAACTTTCTAACCCATCTTATCGGAGGTACTGTAAGCGTAGGAGGTGATACAACCATTGGCCTACCGGTGGGGGGGAGGTAGCAGTCAGCCTCGGTCCCAGGAGGTGAGAGAAACAGCTGACCGAGGTAGACCGAGCAGGCGCCGCTCTGGCCACCCCCTCCCCCCCACTCGATAACCAGAAAAGACAACTACAACGTTTGATCACTTGCTATCTTTCATATATGCTATCTATAATTTTTATGTGAGTTATAATTGGAGATTTATTGTAATATTGCTTTTGTCTGGACCTTTTCCGCGTTTGCACCTTGAACAAAATGAAAAAGTTAAATACTGCAATTATAATGGCATTTCGTCAATGGAATATTTATCATTCATTTTTAGATGTGCGACTTCAGGATATACTAATGTAAAAGCCTTTCATTTCGAACTTCTCCCTAGTACTTGTTAACATGGTTTACGTACTGTATATTTTTATAACTTCTTCATATCCTGCAAAGTGAACGGAACAACATGTGAATCGTGCGGTTGGCATATGTCACTCAACGTTTTTCATGTTTCTACCATAAAAATAATATATATACAACTTTGAGCGTATTCTAGCATAATTATTTGACAAAAAAAAGGTTCATTTTGACATAGTTGACAATTATATGAAGATGTAAGGTGAAACTCGGGGCTGAGAGTCGTGTTTACAATACGAGCTTTTTCCCGGAGCGTTCTTCTGTCCGATTTGATTTTCGAACGAGAATATCATCAGGATTTTACCCTTTTCTGGCATTCCAGTAATGATTTTGAACAGCCAAAATTACATAATGAATTATTTAACTTACTGTTGGTTTTTATAACTTGAAGGTATTCAGAAAATAAATTTACTTTCCAGAGGACTTTGGGAACTGAAGTCAAGGATACAAACGCGGGATTTATCAGTGGTATAATCATATTGGTGAAGTGTGTAGTGTTGACCTTTTCTCTCATATGTGATGCTTTAAAACGTGGTATTTCTCCGTGACATGGGTAAGTTGTCCTCAAAAATTATCAATTAATTCAATTCATAGCATTTGTCAATTCAGGCGTCCGAGAATCTCTCGGAAAGTTGCTTAAAAGATGAGCATTGGACTCGGGTACCCTGACAGGTGTCTGTCCCAAGCCTGGAGGCTGATGGTAGGTCACGAAATTCACCATGATTGACCTGCCAGGTAGCCCAAACGGTCAACATGGTACATTTTGGTATAGAAGATCATAAAATTCGCCACGGTTGTTCAGTTTATTTATCCAGGTCAAAATCATTGTTCGGTACTGTAGGTCATATTCACCTTAATCAGCCAGGTAGCCCAGGTTAACAATATACTGTATATATGGTATGGTAGGGTCATGGAATTCACCAGTTAAACTAATTAGTCTGATAGTGTAGATGGTCAGTACAATACAGTATAACCTGGAGACTGGATATATATAGTTATCTTATATTTCCTTATTTAAACCTTGTAGTTTGGATCAGTGTGTGTGTGTTCTAATAAATGAGTCAAAATTGATTTGCTTAGCTGGGAGTACAGTATAGTACAGTCCTACTAACTCTGTGCTGTATGTATAAACAATAGATTCTCATAATGACCATACAGGGGTGTATAGATGAAATGAAGACTAAGGCACATTAAAAAAAAATTTAGAGTTTCCACCATCCACACACAACCTCAAAGCCCTATCGACTATTAAACACCAAGATAACATTTATTACCTGTGTCCGCTGATACTCACCCAAGTGATATGTTTATTAGAACATAAGTGAGGCCACCCTGAACAGTGATAGTTATGAGATAAAGTAAGGAGCATGATCTGTTATAACTGTGATAACTTGGGTCAGTTAGGTTAATGGATGCTACAGTGTAAATATCCCTGTAGACTGACTTCAGCTCAGTAGACAACATACTATAACATAGCATCTTGTAAACTTAGGTAACCTACTGAAACATTTTGAACCACTGTATTTTCTAGTTTCCAATATCAATTTAAATACACAGTTTAAATAATAGTCTGCACTACTACAGTAGTACTTTTATACAAAACTCCCTTTTATTTTCTCAAAATGTATCTTCCTGTACTAAGCTTTGGGTTACTCATTCTCACCATTATCCTTTTTATAATTGTCATAAGCAGTAGTATTATGAATACAGAAAATAACATCAGGTGTAGGTCGTGCATTAATCTACAGTATTGTGTAGTTACTACAAAGATGAGAGAGAAGCTCCATTTTTGGAGGGTGAACTGAATTGTCTGTGAAACTTACAAGGGTTGTCCAGAATAAATCCTTAACAACTGTAGACTCAGTACAGTTACTGTGTTCTGAAACTCCAGCTTGAATTTAGTGTAGGTACCCTCGGTTTATTAATCTTGTACCTGCAGTGTATAGGACCTGCTTAAGAAGGGCAGGTGACTAATAATTTCAGTAATGTGGATAGTAATTGAGTTTAAAACTTTAAAGGGGTAAAGTGTGTGCATGTGCGTGCGCGCGCGCGCATATTCAGATAGGGTTGACAGCGAAGGAAATGTCTTTGATAATAAGCAGTAAGAGTTACCAAGAAGCGGCCGTAAATTTTGTCTTTGTGGGCTGGTCTAAAATATCTTAAAGTTAGTGGATCAGTCAGGATTTATACTGTACTGTATTGTACTGTGTTCATAACAGGCCACAGGAGAGAACCATATAGAATACTGAACCACTGTGTTTAGAGTTCACTTAACATTCAACTTCGAGTTGATATTAGAAGTCCATTGTATTGATAAACTTCCCCAGTTTTAACCCACTATCTGTTCTTCCCCTTGTTACTCCGGCCAGGGGGTTACTCACATTCCAAACTACAGTACAGTATGTTCCTTTGAAGGCTATGTAAATTTTTTTTATTAATTTGTCTGAATATTTAATGCATAACGATTTAGACAATCTTGAAAGGTTTAAAATATATGTTTATCGACATGATTATTTTCATCAGTCTCCGTGGATTATAAAATTTTATATACTGTACAGTACTGTATTGAACATTAAATGTTGTTGTACATATGACTGGCAGATGGTAAGGTTCTTGGAACGTACAACGAAATCCAGTTACGAAATACTGTACTGATTACCTGCATTATGTGAGATCATGTGATATACTATATCTATAAACCGGGTTTAATCCAGTTATCGTGTCCACAATTTCCGGATGCAGACACGGGCGGAAATTATTACACCCAGATAACTTGTATTGGACGGGGAGGCAAAAATAACCGATAAGACATATTACATTATTTCAGTGTATTGTAGAGAGTAATTCTCCCTGTGTCTGTACTGTGTTTGCATGAATCACTGATCACTGCAGTGGGACAACACAACACATACAACGCTTGTCATCCCCTTGTAAACTACAGGTCATTGGCTCCTTTGTCTTCCGTGGTTGATATTGCCTTTATTTCAAGTTACTCAGCCAGTTTGCATCCGCGCGCCGTTATCGTGTTCTCTGTGGGTGATAAGACGATGGAATTATATACAGAAAATAGCACGAGTGTCTTAATCGTCATAATGAGTCGACTGATACCACAACACGTTTAGTTGTAGCGTGAATGGACATCTCTATCGTTTGTTTGTCCTGAACGTTGCCAGCTGGGTTGTTACACACTTGTCGATGTAGTGAAGACGGTAGATAAATGAGATGGATTATCAGTAGGAGATAACTTGGGTATACAAGCTAAGGCATTGTCTACTGCGTATCTCGCCCACACGATTGTCAGTGTCCGTAAAATTGTGTACCGATGTATCATTTATTAGAAACAAAGAACTAAGTTATATTTCGCATTTTATACCATCAAGATTATTAAGAAGTCCGTGATATGATTTATATGCATACTATATGAAATATTTGTACAACTGTTCGGGGAAACACTGATTATGCACTTTCTGTCCGGCAGTGACCTTACTGTGTTTATAAAATATTGACTAAACAATGAATTATCTGGTCGCGGGTTGTTAAAACAGTATGCTGTGGCATTGATTTGCATATCTAGCTTTGAGGTATATTGGTGACTTATAGACGTGTGTTTATTTCGTTATACGCGCATACGTGTTCATATATACTGTACATTGAAAGAGGGGTTAACCTTTGACTTTTTTTTTACGCTGTCAAAGGTATGTTGACGTAATTCAGTAGGGGAATAGATCGATAATGTGTCCAGTACGAGTAACCTCACACTCAGTGTGTTTTGCTAACGATTCTGCGAAGATTTGAACCACCGAAACTAACTCGGTACACTACATAACTACCGCTACAGATAAATGCAAAATACATGTAATAACAGTGCAGTATTATTTAATTAAAACTCAATTGTATTGTAATCCCACACCGTAAGGATTAGACTAGGATATTTGAGTTCGTTCTGGTTACGCTAGCACCGCTCAGATTAATCCATGTTCGGTTTTATGAGTTGGAATCTCCCTCCCTCTGTTATTGGCTTGGTGGGGGAGGGGGGTCTACAATCTCCCCAGAAACAATGTGCAACTCCTGTGGCAACGCGTCATTTACTTGAGCCGTGGATTATGCTACAGTACACCCTCACCACCTCCTCCTCCCTCTACTCCCATGCCGTGCCCAGCCTTCCCCTCGCCTCTCTCCAAACATCCACACTTCCCTGCCACAAACTCGCCTTGCACAACATTAAGCTGTAATGTAAACTGGAGGGGAGGAAGATTTGGAAGGTCGCGGTGGCACAGAACTACTCCTCCCCGTGTGTACAGTATGTTCTCTTCCCTTTGCTTTTGTTAACTGTTACCACGGAAAGCCACCTGTTTATTGTAGACTGTTTAATGATACGAAACTTGCGGAGCCGGGACTTTTTTGTGGTACTACATAACCACTGGCTGGATTCTGTTCATTCCTAAGGTTCTGAGGAATTTTTCCAGGATGTTTTTGTTCTTAGTGTTTAAATCCTTGACATACCAGGTACAGTTAAGTGTGGAATTCTCCCGCAGTTACATTAGGTTTGTTTATTTGACTTGGGATAATGTAAGGTTAGGGTTTGTTATTATATGATTAGGTTAATTTGGTCTGGTTAGGTTTTCAAGGTTAAGATAGGCTAGATTGTTGGAGTTAACAAGTGGTGGGTGGACCTTCCTAAGA